GCTCCCGCGCCTCGCTCAGCCAGTGAGCGGGAACCGGTCTGTATGTGGGATCCGAACACTCGGGCAGGAGCGCCGCCGCGCTTCCCAAGCGGCGCACTATCCAGTGCGCCACCGGGCCGGCCCTACACAATGGAATTCTACTCTGCTATAAAAAAGAATGAAATACTACCATTTCCAACAACATGGATGGACTTAGAGAAAATTATATTAAGTGAAACAAGTCAGGCACAGAAAGAGAAATACCACATGTTCTCACTTATTTGTGGGAGCTAAAAATAAATAAATAAATAAATATACAAACAAATGGGGGGGGTGGGGAAGAAGACACAACAATCACAACAATTCTTTGAACTTGGTAAGGTAAGTGAACAGATATGTTGATGGGTGGGTTGGGGGGAAAGGAATTGGTAAAGGGACATGAAAATCAACTACACTGTATATTGATTAATTAAAATAAAAAAAATAAAAATAAAATAACAGCTGCCTTGATATCTTTGTACTGTTTGATCCATGATATGTTTGAACCACAACATATCTTATTATTATTATTATTTTCTTTTTTTTTTGACTGGTAATGGGATTGCAACCCTTGGCTCGGTGTCGTCTGCACCACGCTCATCCAGTTAGCACACTGGCCATCCCTATATAGGATCCAAACCCATGGCCTTGGCGCTGCCAGTACTACACTCTCCCGAGTGAGCCACAGGGCCAGCCCATGAACCACAACATATCTTAAAGTCATGATTTTAGAAATTTTAAATGATTATCTTCACAAAATGCTTCTGAATTATATTATCAAGTCCTCTAAATAACATTCCAGTTGAGAGCTCTGAGAAATAGGAAAGACAGATTTTGGCAACAACAGTGGCTCATCTGAAAATAGCTATTATCCAGATAGTTACACTTCTTACCAGCTGAGAGTCTGAAGCAAAAATCTTGAGTTTTGTACCATTTTCTTTGATCTCATTCATCAGTTCAGTAAGAATGTAAGTCTGTGCCAAGTTCTAAAAGAAAGCAAAAATCCTCTGATTCAGTTTTAACATGACTCTGACTTGATGGAATAAATACTCTCTCAAAGTTTCAAATTTCATCTACCACAGCAAAAATGTCTATTTAAAAAAAATTTTTTTTTTAGTTGAATTGAATACATTTTTTTTTTTTTTTTTTTTTTTTTTTTTTTTTTTTTTGTCTTTTGTCTTTTTTGCCGTGTCCGGCAACGGATTGCAACCCTCAGTGTTGCCCCCGTACCGGACCGGGACCGGCAACGGGATCGCAAGCCTCGGCGTTGCTCCCACGCCTCGCTCAGCCAGTGAGCGGGAGCCGGTCTGCACGTGGGATCCGAACCCTCGGACGGGAGCGCCGCCGCGCTTCCCAAGTGGCGCACTATCCAGTGCGCCACTGGGCCGGCCCGAATTGAATACATTTTACTTTTAATAAAGGTCACTACTACTGCTAGAGCCATGGTGTAATACACAGAAGACCTTTCAGAAGCACTGTGTGAAAAGAACATGTATGTATGTGTGTGATGATAGCCAAAGATAGCCTAAAGCAAACAAAAAGAAAACAGAGAAATTGCTAGAGAAACATTTAGCAGTCATCTGACAATGTACAGGTGTGCCAATGACCATATAAATTATAACAGTCTTCCATTTTACAAAGCTTTCTGACACTTACCTGCACAACTGCATTAAAAAAGCAAGTATTTCCTAAGTTCATAATTCCTTTTACAGATGGTACACTGCTGCCTTTTCTTCCCTTCTTTATTTCACCTGTTTCACATTTTTCTTCACAAAGTTTTATGAATCTAGAAAATACACCTACAAGTTAGAGAAAACATAACTGACATGAGATTTAAAATTAAATGTCACTTGACACAAATTAATTATTTAAAATTAAGAAAGATTGTCTCCCTGCATCAGTGTTCTTGAAGAACAAGAATACAAAAACAAATGTCTTTGGTTTTATATTTTACTGCTAGAACAATTTAAATTCACTTTAATATATAGATCTATACCTCACACCACATTACAGAATAAATTCCAGATTAATTTCAAAAATCAAATGTAGGGGCTGGCAGGATAGCTCAGTTGATTGGAACGCAGCCTTGTAACCACCAAGGTCAAGGGTTCGGTTCCCAGCAAGGGCAAGCTGAAAAAAAAAAAAAAAAAAAAAATATATATATATATATATATATAACTAAATATAAAAAATATAGTCAAAAAACCTGTAGAAAAGATGTAGTTTCCAAATACCATTCCCCACTAAAAGGAATGAGGACTCCATGAAGAAAAAACTGATTATGAGCCTCACGCGGCAAAGATGCAAAATAATCCCATAACATTTTTGTTGTGCCAGATAATAGGAGAAGTGATCAAAAAAAGTGAAGGAGGTCAAAATACATAGGCACTATATTGAATAATCTCCCACTGGTCCAAAGTGGGACAATTTGACCATTGAAATAAAGGTAGTGTAATAGATTATTACTCACAGAGTGGGTCTGAATTGACAATAGATTTTTGTTTTATTACTTAAAATTTGTTTTCCATTGAAACATATTGATTGTACATATTTATGGGGCATAGAGTTATATCTCAATACATATATACAATGTGTGACGATCCAGATAATAGATTTTTAAAATGAGGAAAAAAGGGAGGAAACTTTCTTATAAGAGAATGCCAACTGGAGGATATGCAGAAAGGGGAACCTTTCTATACTGTTGGTGGGACTGTAAATTAGTACAGCCATTATGGAAAATAGTATGGAGTTTCTCAAACAACTATAGATAGAACTACCATAGGATCCAGCAATCCCACTATTGTGTATATACCCAAAGGAGCGGAAAGCATCACATCTGACGGATACCTGTGTTCCCATGTTTATCGCAGCTCTATTCAGAATAGCTAAGATACAGAACCAACCTAAATGTCCATCGACAGATGACTGGATAAAGACAATGTGGTATATATGCACAATGGAATACTACTCAGCCATAAAAAAGAATGAAAATCTGCCATTCGTCACAGGATGGATGATTTTGCAGAAAATTATGTTAAGTGAAATAAACCAGGCACAGGAAGAGAAATACTGCATGTCCTCACACATAAGTGAGAGCTAAAAAAATAAAGAAAGAAAGAAAGATACAACAATTACAATAATATGCTGAACTTTCAAAAGGAGAGAAGAGAACTGAGGTTACCAGAGGTGGTAAAGGGGTTGGGGTAAGAGAAATTGGTAAAGGACCATGAAAAATGACTGTATTGTATAATGTTGAATATACTAATTACCCTGATTTGAGCATGACATAATGCACACAGGTATTGATACTTAACTCTGTACTCCACGGTTACATACAATCAAGTATGTTTCAATAAATAAACAAACAAAAAACTGGTTACTAGAGGTAGGAAAGGGGAGCAGGGAGAAGAAAGTGAGAGACTGGTTAATGGATTCAAAATTACAGCTAGGGGCCGGCCCGGTGGCGCACTGCTACAGTGCTCCGCTTGGGAGCGCGGCGGCGCTCCCGCCGAGGGTTCGGATCCCACATACAGACTGGCCGCTCACTGGCTGAGCGAGGTGCAGGAGCAACACCGAGGGTTGCGATCCCGTTGCCAGTCCCGGTCCAGTACGGGCGCGATACTGAGGGTTGCGATCCATTGCCGGTCACAAAAAAAAAAAGACAAAAAGGAAAAAAAAAAATTACAGCTAGATAGAAAAAATAAATTCTACTGGTGTAGTCAACTCAGAAATCTATAACTGACAATGATTTACTGTGTGTTATCAAAGGAATAGGAGAGAGGAGATCAAATGCTCACACCATGAAAAAATTATTGAGTTTTGCAATGAGTAATATGCTAATTTCCCTGATTAGATCACACATTGTATACATATATTGAAACATAACTGCAATCCATAAATATGTACAATCTATTTCAATAAAAAAATTTTAAAACAGAATGCCAACTAAAAACCACAAAAGAAATGACAGAATTAGGAAAATCACTGTCTGATAGTGACAATTTTATGTGTTATTCTTATAACTTTTCTCTGAGTTTATTTTGTTTACTTATTTATTTATTTTATTTATTTTTTTTGTCTTTTGTCTTTTTCCGTGTCCGGCAACGGATCGCAACCCTCAGTGTTGCCCCCGTACCGGACCAGGGACCGGCAATGGGATCGCAACCCTCGGTGTTGCTCCCGCGCCTCGCTCAGCCAGTGAGCGGGAACCGGTCTGTATGTGGGATCCGAACCCTCGGGCGGGAGCGCCACCACGCTTCCCAAGCGGCGCACTATCCAGTGCACCACCGGGCCGGCCCTACTTATTTATTTTTTGGGTGGCTGGCTGGTAAAGGGATCCGAGCCTGTGACGTTCTGTTAGTTTAAAATTGTCAAAATTAAAAGCTTAAAAAATAAAGCTGTATAATAATACAAAAAGCAAAATAACTAAGTATATGATACATATGTGTATCTTTTAGACTTACCAGTTTGTATAATTAATGCAGATTTGAAAATTGTATTGTCCATACGTTTTTAATAATATGAAAACACAGAATAATTCCTAACATTTATGAACTGACATGGTTGACTGTATCTATTTAGCAGCAGATTACTCTCTGAATCAAAATCGTAAATAATTTGAAGTTTGACAGGGAATTCCCAAGTTCTCAAATGTTTTGGTATTAACTGGATGTTCTTTTAAATTCCTTTCAACCCTCAGATTTTATAGTGCTTTACTAGTATATGTTTTATTCATCTAATACTGACATGCTGCCTTGTGTTACTAATAAGCATTTAAATGTCTGGCTGATTGATGGACATAGTGAATGTCTCTTACTACTGCTCTTTCTTCCACAGGGGTACAGTGTTGGGGAGAACATACCCAATAAAAATTCAACATAGGGCCAAGCCCGTGGCACACTCGGGAGAGTGTGGCGCTGGGAGAGCAGCAGCGCTCCCGCCGTGGGTTCAGATCCTACATAGGGATGACCGGTGTGCTCACAGCGCTCACTGGCTGAGCGCGGTGCGGCTGGTCTCAAAAAGGACAAAAAAAAAAAAAATCAACATAAATGAAAATCTAAAAGATTAAGCAGCAGATCCAGTAGAATTTTAGACTTCTTACATCTCTGCGAGTTCTTAAGAGGAAATTAGAAACCTCCCCCCACTTCTGTAAATAGCATTAAGGGGGATGAACTGGGGTGGAGGCAGTCCTTTTCTCAGGACAGGAGCAGAGAGCAAACACCATAAAGAGAAACTTTAGTCTCAAGTAGGGACGGCTTAATGGCATGCATATCCTCTTGGTTCAAATATGGCCTGAATGGGCACCTGTGACTTTTGCCAAAGAAAAAAGCACCTAGATATGGGGCTTTGTATCCATCAAATTGGGGTTAACATATTTTCTCAGAGTTTTCATAAGGATTAAATGAGCTAATTATTGCAAAGCACTTGGCATGTAAGCTGTGTGTCTGAAAAACAGACCCGAGACCCCACACCAAAAATGTTATTTGTGCCAAAATCCATATCTTCATGAGCCATCCTTAATGTCCATTGTTTATCTGCTCTCATTTTTTTCTTCTTTCATTTTCTGTATATTCTAGGTATTTTTTCCTCAGGTTTAGTTCTTATTTCTGATTGGATTTTCTGGACTGCTAATGTGTTTTGCCTTATATTTGTTTTGTGGTTTTCATAATTTCTTGGCTTTTTTTTTTTAACATGTGGAAACATCTCATTGAGAAAAGTAAATTGAGGATTTCTAAGCTGTTTCCTTCATTAAGCAAATCTATTTCATGGGAGAGATTTTTCTTCCAAGTTCTAACAACTTTTCTCTTATCCTATGCTGCATTATTTTTCTTAAGCCTTATTACCTGTTTTTTTCCCTCCTTTATTCCTATTTGCTTACTCTTGAAATGTTATTGGTTGTTATAGGATATCTGTTGTCCAGGTATTAAGGAGTTATTTTTAATTCCCAACCCCAGAATTCTAAATTAGTGCAGAAAAGAACTAGGAAGACTGGTCGGTCTCTTCTCCTGTCTTCCAGATATTAAAATAAGTGATAAGAAATAAACCCCACACTAGCTCTTGGGGGCAAAGGCCAGCAGAATCAAAGAAGCAGGCTACTGAAGCTTAGAGGCCAGGATGGAGAAAAGGAAAAGGGGGAAGAGGCTAGACAGTATTCAAACCTGCAAATGTACATAAAAGCAAACAAAAGAAAGCCATCAGTACAGTACGTAGGAAGTACTACACAAACAAGAGGAAGCCCAATATGGATACTGGCTGGGTTTGCAGACAGAGCAGTCTGCCTCTTGTTTATATCCAAGACCCCCAATAAGAGGCTAGAATAGGCAGGTTTCCGAGTCTTATTATAGCTGTTGTCAATACATGGTTTCATAGTGATTTAAGAGACTTAAGATGAAAGAGTAATTAAATCCAAGCATTACTACATCTTTTTAGGTAAGGCTGTTAACTCTGATTTTATGCTTACAAAACTCAGTCTCTGACAGGTTGATTTGCCCAAGGTCATGATGATTATCTTCCGATTATAAATCCATTGTCATTTTACCACTTAAATTCTCTTTAGTGATTATGTACAATGAGAATTATAAAAGACAGAAGAGCAACATTCTTACAGATTTGGGTACATGCAACACTGAACAGATATGACTCCTCATAAGTATTTCCTTTACTTAACATTCTTAATAAATGTTACCATACATTTTTTTATTTATTAACATGAAACCAGAATGGTTGAGGGAAATAAACTACAAATTATAACTATATATAACTATATAAAATATATATACATTATTCACTCGGAAAAATA